GAGATTGTTCCAGGCTTTTATGGTTGACGGACTAAATGAAGATCTTGAATATTTTAGTATTGTATTGGGCACAGTATAATTTTCAGCATTACGTAAGTTATAATGGGTTCTTTTTCCCACAACAGGTGGTGACAGTTCGTAAAAAAAAGACGGGGCGATGTCATGTTTAATCTTATAAAACAAGTTTAATTTACGCTTCAGCAATTCCCATCCAGTCTCATAATAAAGAACTCTACTCGGCGTGTATTTGGGTAGGCCAGTTACTATACGATCTGCCTCGAGCTGTAGTCTTTCTAACTTGTTTGAATCTTCAATCAGACACCCATCCCATACCTCACTCGCATATTCAAAATGTGCCCATATAAACACTGTATAAATTCTTGATAACATTTTCCTGTTCAAAATATATTTAAATTTTCTTACGGCACCGATCATTTTTTCCCACAATTTTTCCGATGTGACATGACCAACTACCATTTGAAGAAATAGTTAACCCCAGGTGTTTGTGAAAATCAACAATATCAAGCATGAATTGCTGAAGACGAGTTCTCACCCGGATCTTTACGTGTTGTTAATTAATTTGTAGTTGTTGCAAATTTAGTTGTACATTAGAAGTACTGGTAATGGTAATATGCGTCTGCGTGTTCCAAGACCGGAATGATTATCTTATTACATCGAGAGAGTTGCACTGTACACGTCTTTCAGCAATATTTCAGCAGTAACGTAATCAAACCCGTATTCTTTACGCAAAGGCTACCCACCCGTGTACAACTGTATCCCATGCTGTGACCTTGAGGATTTCTGAAACGTCCTCAATTGCTGGCACTTCCTGTTTCAATCACATTTTGTGTGCGTGGACATGCTTAGGACATCGTTAGGCTTTGAAAACACCTGGTGTCATTACACATTTTCATGCATCTTTTCGTAGAATGCATTTCTGTGATTTGACTTTAACAGCCTCTGGAATCCGTTCCTGCAGATGACTTTTTATACTCTGGCATTCATATAAATAAAACCAAAGCATTCTGTCACGGTATTCTCGTACAATATCTCTTTTGCAGAACCGTAGCACAAGGGCTTTCGCTGTAGATATACGTTAAGTGTTGCTGTGCATTTAATATAATTCCTTTCATTATGTGCTGTCTTGCAGCATCAGCAAATCCACTTATAGTACCGTTACGGGTTCTTCACATGCCAGAATACCTGAGTCATGGAAATATGTTAGTCAATGCATGTGTATGTGGTATCCAGACAACGATATACCTCAGTAGGTAGGCGCTGGGGGTACAATGTTACTATCATTGATTGGTTAAACTGTACCGATTTACAAGTTCTTACACTGTCATAATATACTTCCTTTTAAAAGGTTAGACTCACTAGTGTAAATATAGCGACTTACTTCAGGCAACTGTTCTAAACTAAATTTTCCAAAATATTCCATACTGTTTAAAGGTACTGTTTACACATGAACTGATGTATTGCAAAACAAATTCGTAACGTTGAAAAGATTATTGTCATGAGTTCAATATATGATAAAAAATCTGTGAAAATTGGCGAATTCTTAACAAGATTTTATACCAAAACGCAACTGTTCACATGCACGATTTTTGCACATGCGTTTCAGCAATTTGATGCATGATCCTCGCGCAATTCATCTGCATAAGGTTTGCAGTTAATTCCCCAAAGTGGAGAAATCAATCTTCAATGTAACCGTATATATACTCTCCCAAAAAAGAAACGCATCATGAAAATAGCAATTTCATATAGCAATGAATTAAAACGTGATTCACTTTACAAAAGGTTTTGCTCTGTTTATGAGTCCTATGTTGTTTATGTTTTGAAACATCACAAGAAAACACACCATCCGTTAAATACCCGTATTTAACAGCATGATTTTCAATTTCGGCGTGTAGTGTCACAGAATACACAATTCACATGCAATGCACGTGAAAGTTAGGGATCAGATAGTCTCAATGATTGGTATAAAAGGTTGATCGCTGTCTGTCGATTATTCACTGTATTTGGAATATTGTTGACGAACGCAAAATGCCACGTCTAAGTGAAGCCAACCGTCATATCGCCCTTGGTTTGCTTGAAGCTGGCCAGTTTCAACGTGCAGTTGCCCGATGCATGAATGTTCACCAAAGCACCATTTCACGGCTCTGGGAGAAATATCGCCGGCAGAATGCGGTAGCAGATGCCCCTCGTAGTGGGCGACCTCGAGCGACCACTGCGGCGCAGGATCGCTACATCCGGGTATATCACCTGCGTCATCGAACAGCTACGGCGACCAGTACCGCTCGACAAATATCCAGACAGAGGAGGCTGTCTTCACAGACCGTCAGGAACAGGTTGAGAGAGGCTGGTTTACGTGCCCGAAGACCTTATTTTGGCCCTGTGCTTCGACAACAACATCGTCGACATCGAGTTCAATGGTGTACCAACTTTCAGGCCTGGAACCTTGACGAATTGGCGTAAAATCTGGTTAAGTGATGAATTACGATTTCTATTGGAACGACGCGATGGAAGAATGCGGGTGTACAGACGTCGACGTGAACGTTTCGCCGACGCTTGCGTTCTCCAGGTCGACAGATTCGGCCGGGGTAGTGTTATGATGTGGGGGCCATCACCTGCCGTAGGAGAAGTGATCTGGTGATGATCCAGGGCAACCTGACAGCTCAACGGTACTGTGACGAAATCCTACGCCCACACCTCCTTCCAATCATTGATCGCCAGAGGGAGTTGTTTCAACAGGACGATGCCAGGCCCAACACAGCACGTCACACTAGAGACTTCCTCCAAAACCACAACATCAATGTGCTCCCCTGGCCCTCAAGATCCCCCGACTTAAACCCGATCGAACATCTGTGGGATACCTTGGACAGACGGGTGCGACGCCGTAACCCTCAGCCCCAGACACTTCAGCAACTCGCACAGGCACTACAGGCAGAGTGGGCTGCGATTGGGCAACACGAGATTCTGAGACTTATTCGTTCGATGACGAGGCGATGCCGTGCAGTTCTCGATGCCCACGGTGGTCACATGAGGTATTGACTTCAGCGCCACCACACGTCTCCATGTGACACTCAAACTGACTTTCCTCGAGTTGGTGCCAAAGACGGATAAGTCTGCATTCCCAGTGTGCAATTTCGCTATATTTCATTGACTCCTAAAGCCTACAAGATGATTCAAAATAAACATAAAATACAGTTGAAATTCCTATATGCGTTTCTTTTTTTGGAGAGTATATATCCATACCATGTAGTGAGTGTTTTCAGTGAGTCTAAACTTTTGAAAGGAAGGATATATAAGTAGCCATCCAGAATGCCTTCTGATTCTGGAGTATTCTTTGCGCTATGTATATATGTATATATAATCATGAATCAAATTAAGTTTTAATTACATTTTAATCCAAATAAATGATTATGTTTATTTATGTAAATTTATTTATCTCAAAACAAACTACTATGTGAAAGATATGAATAAAGTTTAAGAAAATTAAGAAAAATATGACAACAATGTGAAAGATATGTATATGAATGTACATATGTATATGAATGACCAAATAAAATGTCTCTCAACATAGAAAGTTACTGTTTTCTATATACTGTAGGCATTAGTGCACTTTGAAATAGGACCATGCCACTTTATTGAAAGGTTGAAGGCAGGTGCAATCAGCAGCACTGGTGCGTAAAGTTGTTTATTTAACGCTGTAGGCATTATTCACAGTAGGCATTAGTAGACTCCACCGGTGTTACATGCCAGTAGCCGAATAATTAGAATGGGAATTCGATTGATTTCCAATGCAATGTCTTTATGATGAACATTGATGTACAGTAACAGATTCAAGCTAATTTGGTTCATATATATTTGCCTAAGAATCTATAAGCAAGCAATGTGCATTCAATATTATATAATAAAATATACATTCAATATTTTAACTCCCGTACCATGCAGCTCTCATATTCATCGATTGGTCGTGGCGTTATGTTTACTCTGAAGCTTCATCACACGCGGACAAATCTCTTTGATATATAGATAGTAATAGACCTGTTCTTCCTTTATTCCATAAACTGAAATGTCAAACGGTATTGTATCACAAAGAAAAATTATGGAAGATACACAGCGAACAGTACATGTACGCTCACGTGCTTGTAAGGGCAAGGTCTGAAGGGCCAGGTCATGTGACACAATGTACGGTGGATGTATTTTATCATTGTGTTGTGTAAAGGTACATTCCGCGTAAATTCTACTCATTTTTGAGATGATGGATGTAAACAAGAGGTCCAAATTCAGCTACTCGACATATGATTGTACGGAGAGCAGTGTTATCGAGAAAGCTAGGGTGTGATGTTTTATATAGGCCCGTTTGAGTGAGTGAGCTTGGTTTTTAACGCCGCTTTTAGCAATATTTCAGCAATATCACGGCGGGGGACACCAGAAATGGGTTTCACACATTGTACCCATGTGGGGAATCGAACCCGGGTCTTCGGCGTGACGAGCGAACGTTTTAACCACTAGACTGCCCCACAACCCCAAGCTCTTCTGATGCAGGGTCCAACGTGTCGCATGTAGTAGTGCCACCACACATCATCCTAATCCCTTTTCTTTTTCATTGGACCGCCTCCGTGGTGTAGTGGTTAGAGCATCCGCCCGGAGAGCGGAAGGTCGCGGGTTCGATCCCCGGCCGCGTCATACCAAAAAGACGTTAAAATACGGTACTTGTTGGTCCCTGCCTGGCGCTCGGCATTAATGGGTACAAAGGACTGGTCGGCTCGGAGTCAGTATAATGTATCTGAGTGGGATTGTCATGCTTCACTGCGGCATGGTATCTCAGTGGGCTAGCACTATAAAACCAGCTTAAGTCTGGGCTAGTACAAGCAGCCGCACATACACATACCACGTATACACGTCGTCATATGAGCGAAATATTCTCAAGCACGACGTTAAACCCAATTTCACTTCACTTCACTTCGTTTTCATTGTTTTCCTTCTTCTAGAGACAAGTGCCTATCCATCTGTTCGCTCTGTATTTTACCTACATACGACACCTCGGACGTGGAACGAAGCCAAACTGATATGTGAAGCACAAACCGCCGAGCTGTTCCGAGTGAAAAATGGGAACACTATTGAGGAACTGAAGTTTGTCGATGGAATGACGGAATGGAATGGAAACTTCAGTAAACTGTGAGTTTGTTTTATCTATTGTGCAATGATTCAGTTATATGAAGACCACCTCTGATTGACAATTCCGCGAGGAACGTTACAGCCTTTCTATCCATTGTACAGCAAAGACATAAACATTGTATTAATCAAGAACGGACTAAAGATTATTCAAAATGGCAAATGTTCATACTCGTATTCACTGTTCAAACACATTTTTACATATGAAAAGTATGTGACTGGTGAAAGTTTAAGGGAATTTAGAATATCATCATCTCAGTTTCGATGAGGTTATTATGATAAAAAAAAAATTCATGCTACTGAGAAGCAGATCTACAGAATGTGAGACAGTACTGATATTGAAGACGATTATAAAATCCTCATTTGCACAGGGGTGGTGGGGTAGTCTATGCGTTAACGCGTTCGCCCGTCACGCCGAAGGCCCGGGTTCGATTCCCCACATGGGTACAATGTGTGAAACCCATTCCTGGTGTCCCCCGCCGTGATGTTGCTGGAATATAACTTAAAGTGACTGACGTAAAGACATACTCACTTACTCACTCACTCACTCATTTGTACACATTATGAAGGGCTAGCGTCCGCCTGGAGAGTGGAAGATCGCGGGTTCGATCCCCGGCCGCGTCGTACCAAAAGACGTTAAAAAAAGGTACTTGTTGGTCCCTGTCTGGCACTCGGCATGTATGGGTACAATAAGTGCTGGTCGGCTCGGAGTCAGTATAATGTGTCTGAGTGGGGTATTCATGCTTAACTACGGCATGGTATCTCAGTGGGCTAGCACTATAAAACTAGCTTAAGTCTGGGCTAGTACAAGCAGCCACACATACATGTGCATGCACGTCGTCATATGAGTGAAATATTCTTAAGTGCGGCGTTAAACCCCATTTCACCCTAACTATGAAGGCATAAGGAGGCATATCCTATCTAAATGTACCTCCTATCCATCAGTGAACACATTCTTGAACTAATGTCAACAGATACTTCCCGGTCCTACAGATGTGGCCAGGTGTATGTACCATGTACTGACAAAACTCAATCGTCATATTTGTACAACGTGGCTTCGGCCTACTGTTATATACAGATGCCACTGAGGCACATGGTGATGGGCAAAACCGTCAGCAACGTCAGGATACGAGAACACACTGACCACCCAGTTACATACATTCCTTTCTTAGTGACGGATGTACTTTCTTCAGCTAGCGTTGTGATGCCCGGACGTCCACTTCTGGGTCTGTCTGAAGCCCAGAATAAGTCTTATAACTGTGATACGGTGGCATCCGAGGGCGTTGGCAGCAGCATTGTATGTCGACCCCATCTGCACCATCTCAATAGCTCTTTCTCTCTCTCTCTCTTCAACTCTTAATCGTGGCATATTTCTCGTACTTGTGTATCACATCATGTATTCTTGCCTGTCTTCATACCCTATAGAATCATTCTACATGTGCAATGGAGGCAAATACTGCATAAATATTGCTGCGGTTTGGCGATTGATATTGCTATGTGTAAACAGAAAATGGAAAAATGTAACTTTGCAAGCAGAAATGTGAACAAAGATAATTTTAGATGTTCCTAAACATTTTTTAACAATATCAAAGACACGTTTTACTTGTTTTCACTAATGCAAATCAGCAGAAAATGTTTTGAAAGACTGAAATCATAGGAATGATTCTTTTACAAAATTTTAAACACTCTACAACAGTTGTTTCGTTTTTTAATAGTTGAAAAATGGTGAATTTAAATGGTTTATCTTTGTCTCAAAGCAGAATGTTATTTCAGCCTTTCTTTTGGACATCTGAATCACTGTTTTTGGTGACAATTTAACTCTTCTGAAAATTATGCATTTCACCTAAATATGAATGCATTTGAGAATTGTTTTTCGTGATATACATAGAGATGTGTTGTTAAGCTTCCTTGTAAACTAATACCTTCTAACATATCTTTGACAGTTTTAAGTAATTCATAAAGGTAGGAGGTAACCCTTCTTTTGGCGTTTAGTGTATGTAAGAAATATATCGCATACCTTCTTAAGGGACCTGGTCAATATTATAATCTAAATCGCGGTCATGCGAAGGGGTTCTTCAGGAATGATCAATAACTGATTGTGTATGGACTATCTTTGGTATATAGATTTAACACGCTATATCGGTCTATTATATTGTGCGATAGGGTTTTAATTCCGCTATTTATAGCATTCCCGTTCAGCCTAATGTGTGAGGCAACAATGATGCAGGTCTCACGGGAGTACGAAACCCATGGTGGTGTCAAACCAAGGACCGTACACTGGGCAAATAGGGATTCGAACCCATACATTGTGTGAATTGGGTAAAATGTCGCTTTTAATGGCATTCCCGTTCAATGGGAGAGGGCACAGTGATGCAGGACCCAGGGGTTTTATGTTGGTGACTAACCAAGATACAGAAACTGGGCGAACATGGGGCCCACAATCATCGGTGTCTGGTGTATCCAAGGGGCGCAACTCTTCAAGCTAATTGCGATGCCTTAGACGATTGAGGCATCCATGCCACCCGTCGATTGTTAGGTAAAAGTAGAGACTCGTAGACATTAATATGACATCAACATGAACGTTTACGGTTCTGACTCCGCTGGCAGAAATAGATCTTAGCGTAAGGGTAACCGTAACCCCCATTTTCTAACATTAGCCTGAAGATCGTTAGGGCCCTGGAAACAGGTTCGTAACAGGATGAGTTCTGTACTTAGACCAACCACAAGCATACCTCGCACGAGTTTCGTACTCAGACCAACCACAAGCATACCTCGCACGAGTTTCGTACTTAGACCAACCACAAGCTTACCTCCACGAGTTTCGTACTTAGACCAACCACAAGCGTGCCTCGCACGAGTTTCGTACTTGGACCAACCACAAGCGTGCCTCGCACGAGTTTCGTACTTGGACCAACCACAAGCGTACCTCACGTAGATCCGCCACGTCAAAGACCACTGACCAGTGATACCTAAAAGCGTGCCATTAACATAATATAGTTTCTCGAAAGAAATATTTGAGCCGATATGCTCCTCTCAAATTGTAGGATGAACCAGAACATGATGTGGCTGGCCCTGTATGAGACCCAGGACACAGCCAACCAGTTCCTCAACCACGGCTGCATCAAGCCCGCCGACACATTCACCTGGCCTTGGGCAACTGGGCAACCTAATGATCTGACGAACCAAGAGCTCTGTGTCGCCATGGACTCTACCCACCAGTGGAGTTTACAAACCTGCAACCAGTCCTACTACTTCATTTGTCAGCGAAACGATGGTAAGTTAGTTCTTCGGCCGAGCTCGTAAGGGTCTGCATACCCGGAGAGCTTTCAAGAAATTTTATGGTTGACATGTTGTTACGGATAATAATTTGCCGTCCCCTTTGAACCAGCAAAATAGAACACAGACACGTCTAAAATATTCAATAATATATTGAGCAAACAATGAGCAAGCTACAATGAATGACAATACAGATTTCTAGAACAATGCAACTGAGTCGGAGATCTATAATATTGGGTCTCAAATATAAGATATCAACTCACCAGAGTCTTGGCATTTACAGTGAGAGCAGATATACTGATTGAAGGTTGTTTACAATGAGAGCAGTCAGGCACGCACGGTCAGTCTTGAATGTTGATCAGACGATGACGATGGCAGACAGATGTACAAAAATCCAGGCATGCAATAAAGTCCGTGTCGCACAACACAACAACAAGCCTTTATATAGCTCTTCAACAGTTCTAGGCATTCTAGCATAGCTAGGCTGTATCATTATCCATTCAGAACTTTATAGATATCCGTCGAAATCGATAGAAAACTCCACGGCATGACGAAAGCCGTAAACAAACAAGATTGCCAAGGGAGGCAACTCTGAAGCGCTATCTCAAAAGGCGTACCGCTAAAAATACGATTGCCATTTGAACATATATGATACGAGATGCGAGCCAAAACCCACACTCAAACATTGTGACTATCACCTAATCAATGTGATATTACAAATTACAAAAAAAACACACACTGTAGTAACAATGTGGAGGAATTCCAAATCAGTGACAAAAATGATATCCGATGTAATTCCTATTCTGACTTGTCCATACGATTCCGTGTGTCTTTTCAAATGAAACATTGACCAGACGTTGCGTGTGTTTATACCGGATGTCACCGGTGGGGCAGGGCACGCCCACTTTTTCGCGAACACCTGGTGTCATTACTATTTGATGGTGTCAGAAGTCAGAATTACTGACTGACTGACTCTGCTTAAAGAAGATATTTCCTATGGACGGACAGGATTTCATATGTCTCATTTATTAAATGGCTTGTCCGGTCCTGTCTGTCTGTGGTGCTTTATTTCTGTGTAAAATATGGCTAATGTGTTATTGCCATACCCTACGTTGTCTTTATGTTGTCAAGTCTGTGGCCAACCAATCCCCATTTCCCAAATGTTTTCAGCGCTGGTTGTACTAAATGTTCTCTATCAAGGGAAATGAACTGAATGCTATGGAACAGCATTTTATACAGGGTTTTAGCCCGTACCACAGCTGCATCCTCACACGTTTTGTGAGTTGAACGCGGAGCGAGTCTATGCGTAGTGTGAGAGACGTGAGGGGTTATACAACCATTCCTGGTTGTCTGCGGTATGGTATGTTTTAGTAAATGAAGATATTAATGCTATTGTTGTATTCCCCATATCACGGAATACATTTGGATCACAAAAAATGTCCGCAATATCTTGTCAACTTATATTGAAACTATTCCCTATTAGAAGAAAAAGTGTTCACATTGTTTATTCGAAATAATAGCGACACAAAATGTTCAAGATCATAATAATAAAAAAAACCCGGACGTGACCCTTTCCATATCCATACGTAAATCGTTTCATGATCATGATGATAACAGTCATGAAGTGATGTACCAGCTGTTCGTGAAAAAGGTGAGCGTATCCTGCTTCACCGGTAGCATCTGTCACAAACAATTGCAAGGAGGCTCAGAGCTATGGCTCTACTTTAGCTCATTGTACATTTATGGCTATAGTTGTATGATCCTCAGGGAGTTGATATTGAAAATATACGATGTGCCGTTAAGATTGACATCCAATGATCGAGGAAAAAGAACAAAGCGCATGTGAGCCGCTGAGATGGATATTGGCGCTTTTCAAATGTTAGTATGATGATGATGATATCATAAGCATGTATTTATGAATAATTATCGAAAGGCGATGAACCAGATATTCGAGACAAAGATGAGCGTATCCTGCCACACCGGTGGCATTAGTCTTAAACACATGCAAGGGTAAGGCAATCGTGCACCTAAAACATTAATTTCAATACACAGTCGAAATTGTTTTGTTTTAATGTACATGTCCCCCACGTGTCCCACTCACGTTCCTATTTCAGACCACACGTCCTTGATACAATTCAGTTGCTTTTAATGTTTGAGATCCCCGTACACACTTCAGAACATGAAAGCATGGCGACATCCCACACGTTCGATACAAATACCGATTCTGGTGATTCTGGCGACACATATACATTTATACACGGACAACAATGTTTATTATCGAACGGTCAAAGTTCTTTAGTTGATAGACTCTGACGACCCGGACGTGTAGTAAAAGCCTCTTGTCTTCTTTCCGATTCTCTGAGGAACGGATAGTGCTTTCTACCGCTGTAACGATCTAATAGATGGAAGGTTGAATGAATAAAGCGGATAGCAAATAACAGTAAAAGTAATGTACAGGCATGCCTTGTTTAAATCAATGGTACCTGGCTCGTTGGATAGAGTGCTCTGTGAGGTGAAAGTTGGAAACATCTGGGTCACATACAGTGTTTTATTTGTTCACGACCGGGAACAACAGCATCGGATCCTGGTTATTCCGATTAAACTCAAAGGGACTCTGGTATCCATTTGTTTATGGCGCCGCAATTAGCTATGCGTTGCTTGTGCACGTCAGACACATTTGATTGTGGGATTGAATTTCGGTTAGCCTCTATTGTTTGTTAAGCACATAAACAGTCGATATGGTTTCATCAAAGTGAAAATGACTGAAACCTGCTTCACTTCATTCGACATGCTTAATTCCTCCCATAGTAATCGTTTTATAACAATTTAAGATTGGAATATTTACCATAATCCAAATCCATCTACGTTCAAATACCTTTCATGTGCAAACAATTCACCCGTGAAGGTCCGGGTTAGAATTAACCTTCAGTAACCCATGCTTGTCGTAAGAGGCGACTAACGGGATCGGGTGGTCAGGCTCGCTGACTTGGTTGATACGTGTCATCGGTTCCCAATTGCGCTGAACGATGCTCATGCTGTTGATCACTGGATTGTCTTGTCCGGACTCGATTATTTACAGCATTATTCTCAGTATATTGCTGAGTGAGGCGTAAAACTAAACTCACTCACTCACTCAAACAATTCATGTAATTCATGTAAATACTTTTGGCACGCACATGTATACAAGAAGAGAACACAGTTTACAAATATGTTAAAGGATTTTTAAAAAGGTCACTTCACATTGTTTATTTTCATTCTTAATGAACCCCTGGGGTATATATAATATTCACAAAATACAGTTAAAAACGGTAATATTTCATTATTCAGCTTGTATTAGGAATCTAAAACGCACCTCCCTCGAAAGCATTTCGCGATTACGCAAGATAATGAGGTAGATGGTCATGGTCGCGCGACGTCATACCCGAGAGTCACTACATCAACACACGGAAAATGCAGTGGTACCGAGCCTGTTCGCGTACAGAGGTCTGCTTCTAGTTTAGCAAATAAATCAATCCACGAAGTCAAACCTGGATTTGGATGGCATACTAGATACAGATAATATCACATACATACAACCTTTTCAATTTAAAAGTATTTCTGGCGGCAAGACCGACAGGAATATTGACGACGATTCCACCAGTTGACAACATACAGCCGTGGGACGATCCCGATCCCGACTATGTTTTGAATAGACCTACTGCAGACTGGTATGCAAGTCACTTGCCTATCACATGTTCATGGAAAACTGATTAGATACTGAATTCATTTTTCCGCGGTCACGGTAAAATTTGGAGTCATGATAACGGCAATGTTCGATCAATGTGTTAAGCCTGTCTTCTGGTATACATCGGTATGGGAAGGTAAACACTGAAATAGTTACGTTCGAGGTTCATGATTTTATGAAGGCTATTAAGGAACTTTCAGCTTTATTTCATAAAATGCGTCTTCTACTAAATTTATCCGTAAAGGTTTTAGTATGGTGATAATCTTTTCTATGAAATACGTACCGTTACGGAAGTTGATCAGTTCAATCTCACAACTGTATTGTAGAGATGTACCTTAAATTCGTTAGTGTATGTTTTCGGTGTATCGTCTCTGATATGGTGTATCAAACATCAGTTTTATCACAGTTTCAATTTCCATACACGTGTAAAGCATCGGTTATATGTCGTGATACTTAGTCATATAAATCTGCAAAATATACATAAAATGTAAAATGATAAAGACCTGTAACCTCCTTAACAGCTGATAATCCCCAAAGAAAGATATAATATCGATCGGGTTTAAGTCCGGTGATCTTGAGGGGCCACGGGGAGCAGATTGATGTTGTGGTTCTGGAGGAAGTCTGTAGTGTGACGTGCTGTGTGGGGCCTGGCATTATCCTGTTGAAACAACTCCCTCTGGCGATCAATGAATGGAAGTAGGTGTGGGCGTAGGATTTCGTCACAGTACCGTTGAGCTGTCAGGTTGCCCTGGATCATCACCAAATCACTTCTCCTACGGCAGGTGATCGCCCACCACATCAAAACACTTCCTAGGCCGAATCTGTCCACCTGGGGAACGCAAGCGTCGGCGAAACGTTCACGTCGACGTCTGTACACCCGCATTCTTCCATCGCGTCGTTCCAATAGAAATCGTGATTTAGCACTGAACCAGATTCTACGCCAATTCGGTAGGTTCCAGGCCTGAACGTTGGTGCACCAATGAACTCGATGTCGACGATGTTGTTGTCGAAGCACAGTGCCAAAATAAGGTCTTCTGGCACGTAAACCGGGTTAAAGACATGTCCATCAGATAAAAAGGTTCCGACACAGCCTGTGTTCATATTTGTAGATAGATTTTCATCTGGAGAAGGACCCACTTGGAAGAAGTCGGGATTATTACCGTGTTCTTGTCAAACAAGAGGGTTTCTTTGACAGTGTTTCAAAGCCTAAATCCCATCTGAACACACCTCATATCGATCCAATAGGAATATTTCCGTTCTCGTGTGTAATGCTA